CCACATACACATATTCTTCTATTCATGCATCCCTCAAGCAAGTATCCCACTTCAGATGACATAAACAATATCATTTCAGCAGAGATAACATCTGAAAATGATGATAGGAAATTGTATCATTTGGTCAAGACACATATGATTCATGGGCCATGTGGTTTAGCAAATCAGTCTTCACCTTGCATGAAAAATGGGAAGTGCTCTAAATTCTTTCCCAAACAATATCAGCCTCAAACAATTGTTGATCACGATGGATATCCTATGTACAGAAGAAGGGAAACTGGAATTACAGTGATGGAGAAGAATGTAGTGCTCGATAACAGATACGTTGTTCCTTATAACCCATTTCTATTGAACAAATTTCAGGGACACATAAATATGAAGTGGTGTAATCAGGGTACTTCAGTTAAGTACCTATTCAAGTATATTAACAAGGGGTGTGACAGAATTACCGCGGTTGTTGTCGATAATGAGATAGACGGATCTTCCCATATTAGAAATGTCAACGAAATCAAGCAATATCTTGATTGTAGATATGTCTCACCAAGTGAAGCATGTTGGAGGATCTTTTCATTTCCTATTCATGGGAGATCTTCTGCAGTTGAAAGGTTGTATTTTCATCTTCAGGGCGACAATTCGGTTTACTATACTGGTTATGAACTGATAGATGAAGTCCTTGACAAACCGAGTGTGAAAGAATCAATGTCTACCGCTTGGATGGAAGCAAACAAGACATATGCAGATGCAAGAAATCTGACATACTCTAATTTTTTGACCAAGTTTGTTTATGATAAAAGATATCAAAAATGGAGAACACATAAGAGAGACCATACAATTGGAAGACTAATTTGGGTTCCTCCAAGTATCGGTGAGCTGTATTACTTAAGAATGATGCTTACAGTTGTCAAGAGGCCAACATGTTATGACGATATTAAAAAAGTGGGTGGGATAATTCGGGATACTTTTCGGGACGCATGCTTCGAAATAGGCTTTCTTAACGATGATAAGGAGTATGTTTCAGCCATAAATGGGGCGAAGGATTGGGGTTCTGGACACTTTCTGAGAAAGTTATTTGTTACTATGTTACTGTCTGGAACAATTAATAGACCATGTCATGTTTGGGAAAAAAATTGGAGCACGTTATCTGATGGCATTCTTTATCAACAAAGACAAGCAACAAATAGAAGAGGTAGATTCCAGTTTTTTAATTTTTTTCATAGTATATTAATATATATTTTAATAGATGACTGGTCAGTGTTACTGTTACAATTATATATAAACAAGATATTGGATACAAATTATTTATAAATATTATGATAGGTATTATTTAAAAACCATACACACAATTGTATTTTGTAATAGACTTCTAATTTATTTGAACAATGCTTCTACTGAAAAAATCTGCATATGGCTGATACTGATGTAGGTCTTAATACAGCCGTGTATAACTTTATATTGATGTACATACTGCATCCATTGATACATTTAATTTGTTACTGCCATTTTGTATTTTAGGGTGTTGTTGTAATTTAATTGAAATGCAACATTGTAAATGATATACTCAACGTTGCCATAAATTTTACTTTGTCGTTCATTCATATAATTTGAACATTTATTTGATTATTGTCATAAATCTGTATGTGATTTGTTAGTTGTGTATTTTTTTATAGATATGTAGTTGTCAATAACAGAGTTGAGGAATTTGAAACTAATTGAGATTGAGAATATGCTGCAATCAAATAGAAGAAGTTTGCATGAATTTAAAGATATGTCGTATCCACATTCATATGTCACACGCCACGTGGGAAATAGACTGATTTGGGACTAACGTAATTACAATTCTCAAATGGAACGACAAAATTACCAAACTCTCTATCACGCACTTACAGGTTAGGAATTTAATTTGTATTCACAAGTTGAATATTAAAATTGGTTTATTTTTGTTATACACACAGTAGTAATTTTTGCATTTTAATTAACAGATGAACAACGTTCAATATTTGATACGACTATGGAAGCTGTAGACAAACAAAGAGGAGGGTTGTTTTTTCTACATGGTTATGGAGGGACCGGTAAAACTTTCATGTGGAGAACATTATCAAGTGCACTTCGTTCGTAGCAAAAAATTACTCTTACCGTTGCTTCGAGTGCCATAGCTTCTTTATTATTTCCAGGTGGAAGAACTGATCACTCAAAGTTCAAAATACCAGTGCCAACACTTGACAACTCTACTTACAATGTTGACAAAAACGATGAACATTCATAGTTATTTGAAGCAACCGATGTTATAACATGGGACGAAGCTCCTATGTCTCATAAGTACTGTTTTGAGGCATTGGATAAGACACTCAAATATGTCATGAGCAAACACGGTATTGCAAATAAAATCTTTGGTGGCAAAGTTGTTGTTTTTGGAGGAGATTTTAGACAGATACTTCCAGTTGTTCCAAGAGTAGGGCGTTCTGATATTGTCCATGCATCAATATGCTCATCATATGTATGGGACTATTGTCAAGTTCTAACACTAACAAAAAATATGAGGTTGCAGCAGGAAAGAGACAATACAAGTTCACATGAATTAGCTGAGTTTTCTAAATGGATCTTAAATGTTGGGGATGGTAAGATATGTGAACCAAATGATGAATTGGTTGAGATAGAGATTCCTCAAGAATTATTGATATCCAAATTTGAGGATCCTATAAAAGCTATTGTTGATAACACATATCCCAATTTGCGTGATAATTTTCAGGATATTGGGTACCTACAAGGTAAAGCTATTCTTGCATCAACCATTGAAGTTGTGGCCAAAATCAACCACTATGTACGTGACATGATATTAGGTAATACAATTTTTACTTTAATCTCTATATATATGCACACAAGGCATTTTTTACACAATGTATTAATATTTACACTTCATGGTATTTTTTAGGAGAAGAGAAAGAGTATCTAAGTTTCGATTCAATTGATAGAACCGATACAACTTTTACTGAAGCATACAAAGTTCTAACCCCAGAATTCCTAAGTAAACTAAGAACATCGGGCCTTCCAAATCATAGGATCAAATTGAAGGTTGGTACCCCCATCATGCTAATGAGAAATTTGGATCAAACTGATGGATTGTGCAATGGAACAAGATTAATTGTTACAAGGTTAGCAAACCACGTCATTGAGGCAAAAATTATGTCCGGAAAAATATAGATAACATTTTGCACATTCCTCGAATGTCCATGTCACATTCTGAGTCACCGTGGCCATTCAAGTTGATTAGGAGACAGTTTCCAATCATTGTCTCATATGCAATGACAATTAATAAATCAAAAGGTCAATCGCTTGATAATGTCGGATTATATTTGCCTACATCTGTTTTTAGTCATGGGCAATTTTATGTTGCAATTTTGAGGGTCACAACCAAGAGCGGTCTTAAAATCTTAATACATGACAAGCAGAATGCACCGTGTTCGACCACCACAAATGTTGTATACAAAGAAGTCTTCCAAGCACTTTGTTAGTTGGTAATCATTTTCACCTTATTATTTGTGATACAAATTAAATCCCAATGTTTAATTTATGTGTTTAAATTCCACATATTTTCATTGGTTTTTAAAAAATGCTTAATATTGAATGTCTTCTTTGATATATTTTTCCATGCAGGTGTGTGTTGCGAGTCGTTGTTGTTGGTTGGTTCATTCATTTACAAGTTCAACTTTGAAATTTATAATATTAAGAAGTTTTTATTTAGACTTATAATGATTAAAAATTTGGATATTATTTTTACAAGTAATATAAGTTTTATTGTATAATTTAATATTACGTTCAATATTGATTGTTTTTTTATTGATTTTTATTAGTTTAATTTTGACACAAGATAAAATTTTACAAATTAATATTAGATTATGTGATATAAAAACCATACGAGAGTTACCCACTAATAATCTTCATAAAATTATACGATTTCTCACGTTGTATTAAATGTTATACATTTTTTAAAGAAGAACTATACACTCCATTGAATGTTTTTTTTTCTTCACATAAAGTTATTAAGGTGTGTTGCAGTTTCCTAAGTATTAAATTTTGTAATTTTTATTAATAATTAGATAAGATGACATTTTCTAAACTTATAGAGTGTTGTCACATACTCATATGTCTATTTGTCAGACAATCAGTATTCATATATATACCACCAAATTGATTTATTTTACAAGAGAAAAGTTATTTAATTATTATATATAATTATTAATAATTTAGTTATTTTTTTATATTTTATGAAAATACACATTAATATTCAATTTAGGAAGTAGAGATTCAAAATCAATTTTGATATAATATTATAAACAAAATCAAATTTATAAATAGATGGAATTAAATAAATACTATTTTAAATAATTAATATTAGAATAATAAAGAATGCACATAATATTACAACAAATTTATTTTGTAATTTTATTCAATTACTCTTAGATTTTAAATTTGTAGATAGACTTTTAAAGAATTGTTTTTTAAAGAGGAAGCAAATAAAAAATTATTTTAAAGTATTATTTGGAAGAAAATATACTTTTTGAACACAATATTTGAAAACAATCCTATTTATAAAAAGGAATCAAAAAGTGAGGAATGAACTAATTATATATTTTAATAAATTAATTATATTTTAAAATATCAATCAATAAAATAAATATAATATATTAAATAACTTCAAATAAAATAAAATAAAACTAATTTAAATAACTTCATTATAAAAATAATTTAAATAATTAATTATAATTATAATACAGTAGAGTATATATTTTAAAATTGTAATTTTTATTTAAAATAATTGTTTTATTAATAAAATAGTTAAATATATTTTTGGTACATTTGTGTGAGAACAAAGACGTGTTCTACTTTTCCAACATAACTTTTCCATGAACCTTCCGGTTGACTTGGTAGGTTTTCCTCTAGGTCTCTCTCTAACTCAACTTTGACTCTCATAACTTTTACACTTATTGATCACCTCTTGCACCATGGCATTGGAACTTGTAGGTGGAGCTTTCTTAGAGGCTGGTTTTGCTGCTTTGCTTGGAAAAATAGCATATCCTGCAGTAGTTGCATTCTTTAAGAAAAACCAAAGCAGTGTCACCTTGCTCAAGAGGTTGAAGATCTCTTTGTTGTCCATTGATGTTGTGCTCAGTGATGCAGAGGAAAAACAAATAACAAATGCCTATGTGAAAGAATGGATGGAGGAACTCAAAGATGTTGTATTTGATGCTGATGATGTAATGGATGAGATTTGTACTTATGCAAAGATGAGTGAGGTAATAATCAACAACCCTGATTTTGTTACTCCTTTTAATTTGCATGATGCTGAACTGGAACAGAAAGTACGAGACATAATTGAAAGATTAGACTTTATCATAAAACAAAAAGATATGCTTCAACTGCAAATGGTTAAAGAAGTTAAAATCCCACCAAAGTTTCCAACTTCATCAGTAGTGGGATCAAGTGATGTGTATGGTAGGGATGATGATAAAGAGGCTTTGATGAAGTTGCTGTTTTCTGATGATCCGGAAGGTGAATGTAATATCAGTGTGATTCCTATAGTTGGTATGGGGGGAATTGGAAAGACCACGTTAGCGAAGTTTGTATACAATGATGAAAGAGTGCAGAGGGAGTTTGATGTCAAAGCTTGGGTTTATGTGTCTGAGAAGTTTGATGTTATCAAGATTACGAAAACACTTGTGGAAGAGATCACTTTGTGCAGTTGCAGTATTGAAGAGCTGAATTTACTTCAACGAGATTTGAAGAAACGGTTGATAAAGAAAAAGTTTTTGATTATCTTAGATGATGTTTGGAATCAAAACTACATTAAGTGGGAAACTTTGAAGAATCCTTTTGTGTATGGGGCTCCGGGAAGTAAGATTATAGTAACAACAAGAATTGCTCATGTGGCATCAATTATGCAGACGGTTAAGCCTTATTATCTTTCAGAGCTGAGTGATGATGATTGTTGGATGCTGTTTTCGAAACATGTGTTTGGAAGATATGCAAATTCAAATGCTCATCAGAATTTAAGAAATATCGGTAAAAAAATAATTAAAAAGTGCAAAGGGTTGCCTTTGGCTGTGAAGACACTTGCAGGACTTTTGAGATCTAAAGATGATACAAAGGAATGGTACAAAGTATTGAACAGTGAGATATGGGATTTGCAGGATGATGAGAGTAATATTCTCCCAGCTTTGAGGTTAAGTTATCATTATCTTCCATCAAATGCGAAGAGATGTTTTGCTTATTGTTCAGTTTTTCCAAAAGATTATGAATTTGAGAAGGAGAAGTTGATATTACTGTGGATGGCAGAAGGTTTGCTACAACCACTGAGGAGACACAAGAGAATTGAAGAAGCTGGAGATGAGATCTTTAGCGAACTAGTGTCTAGATCGTTTTTTCAGCAGTCGAAACGCAATAAGTCGTGTTTTGTAATGCACCATTTTGTGAATGATTTAGCTCAATTTGTATCTGGAAAATTTTCTGTCAGAGTGGAAGGAAATTATGATGAAGTGGAAGAAAGTGCTCGATATTTGCTGCATTTGATTGCACATAAATTCCCTGCCGCGCATTGGAAGACTATTAGCAAAGCTGTTCATCTAAGAACCTTCATGGAACTAAGGTTGGTCGATAAATCTGTGAGCTTTATTGATGAGGTTCCACATGACTTGTTGATCAAGCTAAAATGTTTAAGGGTGTTATCTTTGGAAGGCATCTATCTTAAAGGGTTGCCCGATTCAGTTACCAAGTTAATACATCTTCGGTATCTGGATCTTTCTGGGGCTAAAATGAACATGTTGTGGGAAAGCATTGGTGGTTTGTACAATTTGGAAACTCTGAAGCTAGTTGGATGTTCTAACCTACAACAACTTCCTAAAGACTTCCATAAGCTGGTTAACCTGCGGTACTTAGATATTACTCGCACGCGTTTGAAATGGATGCCATTGCATATGAATGCATTGACAAACCTACAAAATCTAAGCGACTTTTTTGCAGGAAAAGAATATGGATCTTCAATTGCTGAGCTAGGAGAATTATCTGATTTACATGGATCATTGTTCATTCACAATTTCGAACATGTTAGCTTTGTGGATTCAGGAAAAGCCATGTTGAGTAAAAAGGAATTTCTTGAAAAGTTAGTTTTGGAGTGGAACGAGAATGGTGATACAGATAATTCACAGCAAGAAAAAGACATACTAGACCGGTTAGAACCACATACAAATCTTAAAGAGCTTTCTATATATAACTATCTAGGGACAGAATTTCCTAGTTGGGTGGGAGACTCTTGTTTTTGCAACTTGTTGTTCATGGATCTTAAGGGTAGCAAATATTGCTATAAATTACCTCCACTTGGACAACTTGGTTCTTTAAAAGAGTTACGGATTGCTCAATTCGACGGATTAGTGAGTTTGGGATATGAGTTTTACGGGGATGCAACTCAGAGCTTTGGTTCCTTAGAAACTCTTAGGATTGAGAACATGTCGTCGTGGGAGGAATGGCAGCATCCTAATGAGGCTAACAAAGCTTTTGCGGTACTGAAAGAACTTCATATAAATAGTTGTCCTAGATTGATAAAAGATTTACCTATTAACCTTCCATCTTTGACATTACTTGTCATCAGAGATTGCAAGAAGCTCGTTTCTTCATTTCCAACAACTTCGGCTCTTCGGGTGCTTAACATTGACAACTGCGGGAACTTAAAGTTCCCGGCACGTGTTTACCAGTTTCACCAGACACTTACATCCTTGTACTTGCACAATAGTTTTGATTCACTTGAGCTATTGGCTTTAGATATATTTCCTAACCTCAAGTCCCTGGATGTTTCTGGTTGTAAAAATCTGAAAGCATTTACAGTTTCAAGCACAATGAGACTCCGTCGTCCAATTCTTGCATCGCTGCGTTCCTTGTTCATAAGTAACTGTCCAAAGTTGGTAACCTTTCCAATAGAAGGGTTCTTTGCCCCAAAGCTGGCGATGTTGAATATTGACTACTGCGAGGAGCTCAAGTCCCTGCCACCAAAAATGGATCAGCTTTTGCCAGGCTTGATAGAACTCCAACTATGGAGATGCCCTCAAATTCAGCCAATTGAGAAGTGGCCATGTGATTTAAGATCAGTCAGAATCTGGAACTGTGACAAACTCATTGCCCGTCACTTAGAGTGGGATCAATCCAATCCTCTCCATTTTACAGACTTGACAATGTCGGGGGCTTTCACTGTCAAATCTGAAGAGTACTGCTCAACAATTGCCAGTTCAACTCTTGGCTCTGGTAGGCGAGCACTATCAAGCTCTTCTCAGAAAAAATCATTTTCTAAAAGAGTGTTCAGATGATGGATTATTACAGGTGTGCTTGTTTGGAATTTTCTACTCACCAGTCATTAGCAACTGTTATCTTGCCACATATCTACGACTAATATCATAACTTTTTCGTTTGTGTTCGGTGCTCTTAGGCTGTGATTTCTGAGTGTTAGTTGAAGTGTGTGTGTATTATTTTAGATTGTTTGGGCTTAATGGTCAATTAATTTTACTGATACAAACCAATAGTTGTGTGTTTTGGTAGATGATATCTATATTCAATCTTTTTTCTTTTAAATGCATGTACTTCTGTTTTCAATTTGGTGTTCATTAAAACTGAATGTGTTGCGTTGATATCTCTGAATAATTTGAGTGAACAAATTTCGATGTCAATATTATACTACCTGTGTTAAAATTTGAATCAAGTTTTAATCCATAATTATAGTGTTGGCTTGCATTTGTGAGTTTCTAATGATAAATTGTGATGAAGTTTTGAGGTTGATAATGTGTCATCTACGTTAGTTCTGAGTCATTTTTAATGATATTTTTGAATATCTGTGTAAACTCTAAAATCAATTTGATTGAGAATTCTTTTGGGTATGGTGGAGTTTATTTTCTGTTGTCCTGAACTTATTTAAATTGAATTTTTTAGCCTTATTTTGTCATTGTTTTATTGTTGTCCGGACACTAATAAAATGATACATGAGTTTTATTCTTATTGTTTTGGGTTAGTAATTGGAATGAATTAATTGAATTGTGTAGTGTTTCAAGCTTGTTTGAAACTCAAAATTCATGAATCCTTGGTTGCAACTCATTCTTACCATCTACTTTGTTGATTCTCATAATTGAATAATGTCTAGTTTTGAAGAATTTTTTTTGTTGAATAATCACTTTAAATAAAATCTCAAATAACCACTTTTCAAATAAAAAAACTCGTCACAGAGGTCAAGCCACTCTGTATGGCACATGCATGTAAATTAGAGAGGAGGCGTCACACTGCATGATTTGTCCTTCTATGTTGTGTCATGCAGTGTGGCGCATGCATGTAAGTTGAAGTGGATGCGCCACCTTAGATGGCTTGGCAGTTGTTGTTATTGATTTTTTTAAATAATAATAAAAGTAAATAAAAATATTTTATATTAATATTTAAAATTACACAATGTATAGATACATATTTTTACGGACGTCCCCCTCAATCTAAGCATGTCTCTGTATGACATAAACGCCACCGCCTTTGCCTCACTCCTCTCTGTTGAATTTTCTGAGGTGTTTAGGGTTTGTTCTGACTCGCTTGATGATGAGGTGCTTGATGTGAGGTCCTGGTACATTTGGATCATACATGTCCTCGATCATTTCTCCCCACTATGTTGTGCTTCCAAAGAGATCGGTGTCCATGTTGTTGAAGTTTGGTCTTGTTGGTTGGGATATGTGTGGGTGGGGTGGTTGGTAGAATTGGGATGTTGAATCATTTTGGAAACGAAGCAACGACTCTTGAGGTGTCTGAAATCTGTATGATGGTTGGGTGCTTCGATGGTGTGATGTTTGACTGTATGTAGGTTGGGTGGTATGATAGAAAGGAAAGGTATCATATGTGTCTCTGGTGTTGTGTTAGGATGCGGATGATGCATATTATTGGTGGTGGATCGAGTTATGCTCTTGGTATTGTGTTTGTGTGTGTGACATGAATTGATGACGGGTTTGGATGGATGTGGTGGTGTATGGTTGTTGGGTTTGAGTGGGTTAATATTGTTGTTGGGTTGGTTGTTGGGGTTTGGTTCAGTGTACAAGAGACAGTGGATCATAATGAGGGGAGGCCAAGGGGATACTATCAGGTCGAACTAGATAGAAGTTGATGCGATTGCAGAAAGTTTCAAGCATTTCGCATGCCTTGTTCTCATGTCATAGTGGCATGTTTGCATGTTCGCTTGGACCCAAGAGGACATATATCCCCCGTTTACACAGTCGAGAGCATTTTAAGTGTGTACATCAATGAACAATGAACAAATGCGAAGGAAGAAAAAGGGGCGCCCAAACAGCACTCATATTAGAACTGAAATGGACACGACCAACAAAATGATAAGATTATGCAGTACATGTTGTCTTCCCGGACACAATTGAAAAATTATCTGAATATTGAGTCTAGCTCTACAACCTAATTTTTTATAGCAAACTTTCTGGAGTAATTAATTTGCAATAAGCAAGAGAGTTCAATTTAAATTCGGTTTTTCATTTTGTGTTCAAGTTAACATTTGATTACAACAACCTTCAGATAATGGCCCAAAAAATTACAACACGACAAACTCAAGACAACTACGTAAAACACAACAACACGATAAGCAGACAAAACAACTAAACACATCATAATAACTACGAGATAAAAACCATCAACATAATATCGTCTGGTCCAAGCATCATCATCATGACATCAGCGTCACATCTCACCTTTTTCCATGAACGACTTATTCCATTTTTGTTCCTCATCGTAATTTGCCTTTCTATTTTTCTGATTTGTCCACCTTCAAGAATGTCTCCTTCCAACCAGCAAATCAAGTGCCTTTGAAAATGCTCGAACGTCTGCGTGTTCTAGAGTTTGATCTTCATCGGAGGCTTTGTCGCTGAAAAAATAATATGAGCATCTCCTTTGATCAGTGAAAACCTTGGCACTGGAGTGGAAAACCTTGACAAGGGAGTGAAAGACATTTTCTAAGAGTGATGTGAGAAATGATGTGAAAATGGTGAAGATGGATGGTTGCATTTATAGAAAACCAAATACAACTGTCAAGCCACCTAAAATGACGCCTCCTCCTTAAAAAGAACATGCATGTGCCACATTGCATGGCACTCATAAGAGGACAAGTCATGCAGTGTAGCCCCTCCTCTTTATTTTGTATGCATGCGTCATACAAAGTGGCTCCTCCTCTGTGTGGCGAAATTTTTTGTTTGAAAAATAGTTACTTTGGTAATTTTTTTTGAAAAAAGTGATTATTTGAGAATTTATGAACAACAATAGTACCAATAAATTTATGAGATCCATATTCCAACATTGCATTTCTGAATTTAATTCAAGTCTTTTATTTACTTTGTTTGCTCAACTCCAATCATTATTTTTATTAGCCTTAGATAAACACCATAACGATAGAAAATGATAGCTTGACTATTAGGTCTTTGTGGGTTCGATACTCTTTATATTACTCTAATAGTTTCATGCACTCTCAAAATACCCCATAAAGTTTTTGGCACCGTTGTCAGGGACCAGTTATGTCAAATATCATAACTTTGTTGTTGCACCGTATATATTAAGGCACTCTTGTCTCTATTACTATGTATCACCAAAAATTTCTCTACAATTGTCACTCCCAGTATTTTGAGGAACCACAAGTTTTCCATAAATCTGACTTCGAAATAATAATGGAGAATTTCATTGAGACGCAAACTCTCTGTAGGCTAGAATATATATGGAGGAGGATTGTGGCAACACAAACTCTCCATAATGAAGAATTTAGAAAGAAAAGTCTCCATAATAATGAAACCCTTAGGAGGACAAACACTATGGTCGAGTCCCTCACAACTCACAACATGATATTGGAGACTCAAATCTCCTTGGTCCGCAAACATCTCTAGGACCCTTCCCTGAGGAACGTGTAGATGTTGTAACAACCAATAGTGAAGAACAAATCAAAAATCCTAAGGAGAGTGATAATGAGAGTTCTAGTGAGAAAGGAATATAGATTAAGAAAAATCCATCGACACCACCTGAAAGGGAGGTTTTCAAAGAGGTAGAGAAGAAAGCACCTTATGTTGTTACTTCTCCCTACAACCCACTGATTTCTTTCCCACAAATATTTGTGGAAGCTAAGATAGTCTCTCAATCTAAAAGATATGTGGAAATATTGGAAAATATTCACACCAATGCACCTTTGTCTGAGGTCCTGCTTAACAAGAGAAAAATAGAAGACCATGAAACTAGGGAAACTTTATTGTTAAGTGAATAATGGAAAAACACAAGAAAGGGAGGTTGAATTGGGATCTTGAAACTTAATGAAAATAACACGTTGATTTTTATCCTGGTTCGTTTGAACTCAAACTACTCCAGTCCACCCGCCAAAGTGATTTCGCCTATCTCCAACGAGGTCTTAATCCACTAATCAATCTTGATTACAAATCTACTTTGACAACTGCCAAAGTCTTCTTGAGTTTAAAACCACAACTCGGTTTTCTCAAGGAATTACAAAATAATATAATTGAGTATATACAAATGTGTTTTCTAAAATAAAACAATATCACAACTGTGATGTATTACACAATTTTAGATTGCTAGGTAGAACTGGGTAAATATGCTTTTTCTTTTACGTGCACAGTAGTTCATCATTTGAATTCTTCTTTTCGTCTTCTTTATATATAGGCCATGCAACAGCGATATAAGAAGATGCTTTTGGAATGTTCATAACACGAATTAATGATCTTTCCAAACCATGAGATTCTTGTCTGTTTATAGTCGTTACTTTTGATATTGCATTGATAAACAGTAACGCTTCAGAACTTGTTACGTCAGAGGATGAATGTTATCATTGGGAGTTCCTTACGCTTGTACCAGAACTTTGCAGATCAGAGTATCAGAGATCATGTTTCACAGTATTGGTGCATTCAGAAGTTGTAACATAACTTATGCATATAAGTGTGTCACACAGATTTGCTTCTAAGAAGGATGCGTCTGATTATATCATAATACTCTCATCTTCTATGCTCGCATGATCAGAACTTCTAGTGATGTTCTAGCAGATCTTCTATGCTTCTTTCATCAGAACATCTTTTTCACATCAGAACTTCCCTGCATATAAGATACTTTTATTAGCGAGCATATTTGTTATATATATATATATATATATATATATATATATATATATATATATATATATATATATATATATATATATATATATATATATATATATATATATATATATATATATATATATATATATATATATATATATATATATATATATATATATATATATATATATATATATATATAT